GAAGGATCCGACCAGGGGCCATGCGCAGCTTGACCTGATGCTCACAAACAAGGAGGAACTAGTAGGGGAAGTAGAGGTGGGTGACAACCTGGGAAGCAGTGATCCTGAGATGGTTGATTTCATGATCCTGACCAAAGGAAGAAAGGAGAGTAGCAAAATACACACCCGGGACTTCAGAAACGCAGAAAAGAAGCCTTATTAAAGGCACAGGAAGAAACCATCCCGATGCGCAGTAAGAAAAGCAAATATGGTAGGCAACCAGATTGGCTTACCGGGGAAATCCTTGGGGAACTTAAACACAAAAAGGAAGCTTACAAGCTCGAGAATGCAGGGGAGTAATCAGGAAGGCGAAAGTGCAACTGGAATTGCAGCTAGCAAGGGATGTGAAAGGGAACAAGAAAGGTTTCTACAGGCATGTAGCAATAAGAGGGTGATCAGAGAGGGTTTGGGGCCCTTACTGGATGAGGGAGGTAACCTAGTGACTGATGATGTGGGGAAAGCTGAAGTACTCGATGCTTTCTTTGCCTCTGTCTTCACGGACAAGGTCAGCCCCCAGACTACTGCAACGCCGTATGTGAAGGAGGTGGGCAGCGTTCGGTGGAGAAAGAACAGGTTAGGAACTATTTAGAAAAGCTAAACATACACAAATCCATAGGTCCGGATTTAATGCATCCAAGGGTACTGAGGGAGTTGGCAAATGTCACTGCGGAGCCTTTGGCCATTATCTTTGAAAACTCGTGGAGATCGGGATGACTGGAAAAAGGCAAATGCAAGTGCCCATCTTTAAAAAAAGGAAGAAGGACGATCCAGGGAACTACAGACCAGTCAGCCTTACCTCAGTCTCCAGAAAAATCATGGAGGGGATCCTCAAGGAATCCATTTTGAAGCACTTGGAAGAAGGGAAAGTGATAGGGAATAGTCAACATGGATTCACCAAGGGCAAGTCGTGCCTGACCAATCTGATTAGCATCTATGATGATGTAACTGTCTTTGTGGATATGGAAAAGTCAGTGGATGTGATATACCTTGACTTTAGCAAGGCTTTTGATACCGTCTCCCACAAGTTAAGGGAGTACGTATTGGATAAATGGACTGTAAAGTGGATAGAAAGCTGGCTAGATTGTTGGGCCCAACAGGTAGTGCTCAATGGCTCAATATCTGGTTGGTCGTCAGTTTCAAGTGGTGTTCCTCAAAGATCAGTTCTAGGGCTGGTTTTGTTCAACATCTTTATTAATGACCAGGCTGAGGGGATGGATTGCACCCTCAGCAAGTTTGCAGATGACACTAAGCTAGGGGGAGAGGTAGATACGCTAGAGAGAAGGGATAAGGCCCAGAGTGACCTGGACAGATTAGAGGTCTGGGCCACAAGAAATCTGATGAGGTTCAATAAGGACAAGTGTAGACGGAAGAATCCCAAGCATTGTTACAGGCTGGGGACTGACTGGCTAGGTAGCAGTTCAGCAGAAAAGGACCTGGGGATTCCAGTGGATGAGAAGCTGGATGTGAGCCAACAGTGCCTTGTAGCCAAGAGGGCTAATGGCATATTGGGGTGCATTAGGAGGAGCATTGCCAGCAGATCCAGAGAAGTGATTATTCCCCTTTATTCAGCTCTGGTGAGGCCACATCTGGAGTAATGTGTCCAGTTCTGGGCACCCCACTACAGAAAGGTCGTGGACGCATTGGAGAGGGTCCAGCGGAGGGCAACCAAAATGCTGAGGAGGCTGGATCGCATGATCTACAAGGAGAGGCTGAGGGATTTGGGCTTGTTTAGTCTGCAGAAGCGAAGAGTGAGGGGGAATTTGGTAGCAGCCTTCAGCTCCCTGCAGGGGGGTTCCAGAGAGGCTGTTCATTCAACTCCCTGAAGGGGATTTCAAAGAGGACGGAGAGAGGCTGTTCACAGTAGTGACAGATGGCAGAACAAAGAACAATGGTCTCAAGTTGCAGAAGGGGAAGTCTAGGTTGGATATTAGAAAAATCTATTTCACTAGGAAGGGAGTGAAGTGCTGGGATGGGTTCCCTAGGGAGGGGGGGGGGAATCTCCATCCCTGGAGGTTTTGAAGTCCCAGTTTGACCAGCCCTGGCTGGGATGATTGAGTTGGGTTTGTCCTGCCTTGGGCAGGGGGCTGGACCCGCTGACTCCTGAGGTCTCTGCCAGCCCTGGGGTTCTATGATTTAACTCCAGCAATGGCCTCATGAAGGTGGCAGCTCTGGGAACACGTCCATCTGGGACCACCAAAGACCATTCTCTTGCCTGGGGTGGGGCTGGAGGCAGCTGGCAGTGGCCGTCTGGGAGCGGTGCCCATAGAGAAGACGGGAGCGGGGCATGAGGGGTGGGAAATGAAAACATCAGGGCATCAAAGCCGGCAGAGCTCTCATTCTGAGGCATGGCCACCAGCCTGAGCACGACGGGGGCAGGCGCAGAATTCACACCCACCCACAGAGGTGGCAATGAATGGACTCCCCAAACAGGCTTCAGTCCATCCAGACAGAGTCACCATAATGCAGCCCAGCCTACGCGCCGACGAGGCCCCCGCCCAGCTCTTAGGCTCTCCTGCGGGGCCTTAGGGGACAGCTCCTCAGGTCTGGCTAGGCTCTCGCCTGGAGAAGAGATCCTGCTTTGCAGGGCACCTCCTCCTGGTCAGGACTGGGGTGTCCTCGGTGCCTTTGGTGCCATCTTCGATGTGCAGGGGAAATCCAATCCAGCTCCTTCAAGTGGGGGCAGATAAGGAGACTGCCAGGCCAGGTTTGTCCTCGGCTGCTCTGTCATCGGCGCCTTCCCTGTGTGGCAGGACTGAGTCGTGCCCGGGGGCACCCCTAGGCCACGTGCTCTTCTCGGTTGGCTGCTGGTTCGGCCTGAGCGCACTGCCTGTGCTGCAAGGCGCCAGAGGGTGGCATCACAACAGACGCTGCTGGCTATGGGCCGCCTTCAAATATGGTGACATCCAGCCGCCAGGCCCCCGTGCAGCAGGCGGAGGCCTGGTGTGAAGCAATGCAGTCTGGGACAGCAGCGGAGGACTGGGAAGCTGATCCAACACAGCGACGTGTGCATACGAATGCTTCCGAAAGCAACCGAATCCACTTGGAGGTGCAGCGGACAGCCCCGGGGAGCCCAGAGACGCGCTAGGCCCGGACTAGGTGGGGGTGCTGACTGAGCTCCTGGAAGGGGCGGGGCCGAGGCAGCCAGCCCCCCCAGCACCATCTGGGGACGCTGTGCGGCACTGGCAGCAAGGGACAGGGCCCAAGGCCCCTTGAATCGCCAGGCCCCAGGACAGTTGCCCCTTTGCTGCCCCTCGCCTCCCCTCCCCGGCCAGGCCTGACAGCCCATTTCAATTAGAAATACAGGCCCTTGGAACCAAGCCTTGGTCAGCGCCTCGCCAAGCAGCATCCTGGGCGACCTGCGGGAGGCCACGTGCAGGGGAGAAGGGCGGGCGCTTGCACCCCATCGTACCGGGCCTGTGGGATGCTTTGGGAGGTCACAGGGGGGACCCAGAAGGGCACAGCCAATGTGGGTCACCTCACGGGCAGAGAGCGCAGCTGGGACACCGAACAGAAACCACTGGAACGCAGCACGAAGGCAGCGGAGGACACGGGAGCCACGGAGGCTGAATTCTGGGCTCAGATCTGCCACCAACAGCCTGAGTGGCCTGGGACAGTCACTTCACCTCCGGGCCTCTTTTCCCATCTGCGAAGGGGGGAGGGAAGTGACATCGCCCAGGCCCCGGGGTGCTGGGACTGCACCGAGCCGTGGCTGAGAATGGGCCTGTGCCCCCCGCCTCTGGCTGGAGCAGGGATCCACACGGCCTTGGACGTCCGCCAGCATCACTGCAGAGCTTAGAGCGCCAGCTCCCAGGGGGACTTACCC